GCTGCGCAGTTAGTCATACTGAAGATTAATAGAAAAATTTGATTATTTCAGCATACTATATAAGCACAAGCTTAACAATAAAGTGCATAGTGCAATATCTATGTATTTGTACTTAATACGAGTGAGTTAATCAAAATTCCCAAGACGAAAGCCATTTTAATCCATGCATTGTCGAATTCAGTTCATTTGCAAATGGCCCGCTCATTCCGTAGGCAAGTGGTGAGAATTGTACAAAGCTGTAGGCCAGTGCAGATATCATTCCACCAAGAAGGATGTGCTGGAGCCACTTTGGTAAATAGCTTAGTATATATCTACACATTACACCTGTAAATAAATAGGAAAATGAGAACACACTTTAATCGATGATGGTTCCACTCTATGGATAGAAAAAACGTACCCAGTGGGAAAAGGTAATGTTAGGGAATGCAAATGTAATGGATAGCAACTATAACCTATGCACGAAAAGATGCAAGAATTTCTCTACAGCGTTGTAATACGAAAGTAATGCATCGCATGTCGCTTTACGAAACTATAAATAGAATTTACAAATAAAAATAAATAAATAATTAAAAAGTCCGTGCAATAGGGTTTGAACCACGGTTGCCAACTTTTACATTATCCAAAACCGGAAAAGGTAAATTTTCAAGCTAGCTTCGCTGTATTAAGCAGAATATGCATGAGGCAATCCATTCATATTTAACTCTGTAAAACCATTGATATTTTTTTATACGTTATACCCAATGTTAGTCGTTTCGACTACCAAGGTGCAGTACCACTAAATGTCCAGCAAGAAAATAGCTGATCAAAAACAGCGAGCTGAAATTTACTCATATCACAAGATTCAATGTTATAATTTGTTGTATGGTTTGGAAGTTAAAATTGATAAAATAAGACTAATTAAACTTGTAAGAAGAAGTTACTCATTTAGTTAATGTTAGGATAACACTGATTAAGGTTGTTGGTCAAAAAGTTTAAAGGGTTCCTAGAAATAAAAAAAATAAGACCAAAGTTTAACCAAAAAAACGAAACGAAAAATCTTTAAGTAACCAAAAATAAGGATTGCCTACGAGTCTTGTTGTTGCTGATTCCTTTCCGGCATCTTAGTTTTATTTTTTTTTCTAGCGCAGATGCAGGGGCTAAGCCCACCCTCCATTGATTCTCAATGGCGCTTAATTGAATATCCCAAACAACTTGCATCAAACCTTTTCGTTACCCTTTTTTTTGTTATTTATGTTACAAAGGGGCGATTCCTTTAATTTAATGTATAACGTTGCAATTTAAAAATTAAAATATCCAACAACAAAAATTAAACAATGGCCGACTAATAACTACTAAATGCGTACTCTCGGAAAGTTTAAATTCTTTAGTTTTTTCTTATCTATGGTGAATGGTGAAACTAATCATTTATAAACAAATAGCAAAAAACAAGGGAGGGACTGAGAGACAGTGAGGGACAGCGTTGCCGTTTGGCTACATTGCAAAGTGTAAAAACTTGTCATAACTGAAAGCATGTGGGCTACAGCTTCAGAAACTTTTTTTTTGCATATTCAAAAATGAAATAGACTGCATATGCCAAAAAAATTTAAGTATGATGGTGTTCACAGCTTTAGTGCTTTGTGTCTTACCTTTAACGAATATTTTAACTGCTCAGCCCTATCAAAATTCTCATCCCTATCACATTGCTCATCCCTATCCAATTTCTCACACCTATGATAAAAAAATAAGAAGGTAGAACCGCTGAGAGGAATTTTTTAAATTCTTGACGGTTGAAAGCAATTTAATTTTAAAATTGTACACACATTCTCATTTTCAATCTCAACAATATGATTTTAAAATATTGGCAAACTTCAAAAAAAAAATCATGGCCGACGAATTCAGAGAACGGTTTTATCTTACTATGTTTTTATCATGGCTGACACCGATAAGATTCAGTAACTAGTTAGCGACAATTTTCGAATCGTTATCGCACTTTTTGATGCATGATATGAATGTTGTTTCATCAAAAAGAACCTATCCTCTGCTGTCAGTCAGTGATTGAAGTGTTTGAGGGGACACCTTAGGCAAAGTTTCGCAAATCTTATCATAAGGAATATCCCGATATTGCGTTAATGTATGATTTTTGCACGGTAATTACGGGATAATAGTAATGCATTATTTCCTTAAGAAAACAAAATGGGGAACATTTGGTAGCGCCAGCTGCTTGCCTAAAAGAAAGTAACTACGTTAGAGTGAGAAGGTTCGCTAGACTTACGCTAGGCGCACATTGCATCCGATAGGCTGACCGATTTCGGCCGAACAATTTGACCGTCCGAACTTATGCGCACACTTAACCAGATTATTTGCCCACCGTATTTGTACACACAAATCTAGTTTTCATTACAATTTTGTAAGCAGCGAAATATTTTGATACATTTGAATTGACATACTCTAAACATGTGATTTTATATGTAATTTTTTGTTTTTGCACCCAATAAGTTAATTTTTCGCAGTCCGTTTTGGTACTTTTCACCTGACATCGGACGAGAAAAACAAACATGTTTAAATTTATCGTCACTGTCGGACGTGAACGGCCGATGTCGGTCCGGTTATCGGTTTATGTGTGAGAGCGCTCATATAATCACAAGTGTTTATTCATATCGCCCACATATAGCCGATATCGGCCGATGCCGGCTGCAGTATGCGCGTAGCGTTATGGTTCGGTGAAGCAGTCTTGAGTGTGTGTGTGCGTATGTGTGAATGTTCGACAACCATCGACTTAGCCATCCTGCGNAAAAAGCTATGGAGTTGCAGCCAAGGGAAACGGCATAAATACGCCCATATATGCGTGGCTACGGTGACAGGTAAAACGATCAACGGAAATAAGGTCAGTTGACTTTATCCCCCACCCTTAAAAGCGAAATAAAGTCCATTGACATTATTGCTCTTTCAAACATTAAATTTGCTTAGCTTCGCCAGCACGTCACGCTACGCCGTTGTATACGTTGAAATAAAATGTTTATATATTTTACATATCGAAGGCTTATATTCAATAATACCCTCTATCTGCACACTTTTCACAAAGATGAGATTCTGATATAAAAATCCACCTAAGATTTAACTGTATTAATGCTACCTTATATAACGCTTGTCAGAAGAATTTACACTATTATAAATTGGAAATCAGAAGTAATATATCACTGATGACAGGTAATAAGTCTCAGATGGTTTCTAAAATCACAAATTAGTTTTTGTGCATATTGCAGATAGAGGGTATTAATGAATTTAACCCCTCGATATTTCACATATTGTAAGTTATTGGAAGATTTCTGCTGTGTTTTGGCAATAACTTGTCTGCAGTAAAAAAACATATAATTTGTGTTTCAAAAGGTGTGTGAAAACCAAAAACCAATCAATTAACTTACATGATCTCGGTTCCGATATTAAATAATCAATAACTGTTGGTGGAGAAAAAGAAGCGTTTTTCCTTTCTCTTCAAAAAACCTTTATTTTAGTATTTATGTCTTTATGTACAAGCCGTACAAAATTATATGTGGTAATCGTTTATCCGGTAAGCGAAAATATGTAGTTGCTTCTACGATGACTCGAATTCCAATAATTTTCTGCTATCGTCTTAATTTGCCTATAAGCTACTTGTCGTCAAGAACTGCAATTCTCCTACTATGCAATTTACACAGAACCGGTTTGGCTTGCAGTGTTGTTGTTGTGTTGGAGTCAGGCGATAGTTGAGTGGCGCTGGGGAAATGCAAATGCTGTAGTGAGTGGGAGTGACGAAGAAGTTGCGAAGAGGATGAACAAAGCGAAGATGTACTGCTGCTGCTTATGGTGACGTGAGCAATTACTGTACTTTAGTTGTTTACAAAGTTTGTATGATTAGCGGTATGTTGATCGGATA